CCTGAGGTCACCTTCACCTGTTTACCTACGTTGATGTGATGTAACTGTTATGAGGTCAACGAGGTAGTGGCCTGGGGGGGGAGAGGGGGGAGGAGGGGGTCCTTTGATGTTCCCGAACTGACAAGGATCTAATTTAGGGTTAAAGGACCTTCTACAGTTCCTTCGCGAATATTCTCTCGTGTAGTTTGCATGGTATAGGGTTTAGCGACATAGGCCCAAGGTCATCGAGAGAATTGGGAATTAGGGGGGAGACCTGTTTTGGGAATCGGGACCTTGGGGAATTAGGGGAGAGACCTGTTTTGGGAATCGGGACCTTGGGGAATTAGGGGAGAGACCTGTTTTGGGAATCGGGACCTTGGGGAATTAGGGGAGAGACCTGTTTTGGAATCGGGACCTTGGGGAATGGAGGGGAGAGACCTGTTTTGGGAACGGCCTCGGTTTTGGGAATCGGGACCTTGGGGAATGGGAGGACCTGTTTTGGGAATCGGGACCTTGGGAATGAGGGAGAGACCTGTTTGGGAATCGGGAATGGGGAATGAGGAGAGACCTGTTTTGGGAATCGGGACCTGGGGGATGAGGGGAGAGACCTGTTTTGGGAATCGGGACTGGGAATTTAGGGGAGAGAACCTGTTTTGGGAATCGGGGGACCGGGACCTTGGGGAATGAGGGGAGAGACCTGTTTTGGATCGGGACCTGGGGAATGAGGGAGAGACCTGTTTTGGAATCGGAAATTAGGGAGAGACCTGTTTGGAATCGGGACCTTGAATTAGGGGAGAGACCTGTTTTGGGAATCGGGACCTTGGGGAATGAGGGGAGAGACCTGTTTTGGGAATCGGGACTTGGGGAATGAGGGAGAAGACCTGTTTTGGGATCGGCGACCTTGGGGAATGAGGGGAGAGACCTGTTTTGGGAATCGGGACCTTGGGGAATTAGGGGAGAGACCTGTTTTTGGAATCGGGACTTGGGAATGAGGGGAGAGGACTGTTTTGGGAATCGGGACCTTGGGGAATTAGGGGAGAGACCTGTTTTGGGGATCGGGAACGTGGGGAATAGAGGGAGAGACCTGTTTTGGAAATCGGACCCCTGTTTTTGGGGAATGAGGGGAGAGAACCTGTTTGGGAATCGGGACCTTGGGGAATTAGGGGAGAGACCTGTTTTGGGAATCGGGACCTTGGGGAATGAGGGGGAGAGAAACTGTTTGGGAATCGGGACCTTGGGGAATGAGGGGAGAGACCTGTTTTGGGAATCGGGGACCGCTTGGGAATGAGGGAGAGACCTGTTTGGGAATCGGGACCTTGGGGAATTGGAGGGGAAGACCTGTTTGGGAATCGGGACCTTGGGGAATGAGGGGAGAGAACTGTTTTGGGAAATCGGGACCTTGGGGAATGAGGGGAGAGACCTGTTTTGGGAATCGGGACCTTGGGGAATTAGGGGAGAGACCTGTTTTGGGAATCGGGACCTTGGGGAATTAGGGGAGACCTGTTTTGGGAATCGGGACCTTGGGAATTAGAGGAGAGACCTGTTTTTTTGGGAATCGGGACCTTGGGGAATTAGGGGGGAGACCTGTTTTGGGATCGGGACCTTGGGAATTAGGGGAGACCTGTTTTGGGAATCGGGACCTTGGGGAATTAGGGGAGACCTGTTTTGGGAATCGGGACCTTGGGGAATTAGGGGAGAGACCTGTTTTGGGAATCGGACGCTTGGGGAATGAGGGGAGAGGAACCTGTTTTGGGAATCGGGACCTTGGGGAATGGGGAGAGACCTGTTTTGGGAATCGGACCTTGGGGAATTAGGGGGGAGACCTGTTTGGGAATCGGAACTTCGGGATGGGGGGAGCCTGTTTGGGATCGGACGTGGGGATTAGGGGGAGACCTGTTTTGGGACGATTGGAGAGATGAGAGAGGGAGACCTGGTTTTAGGAATTCGGGGACTTGGGAATTAGGGGGGAGACCTGTTTTTTTGGGATTCGGGACCTTGGGGAATTAGGGGAGACCTGTTTTGGGAATTCGGGACCTGTTTTGGGGAGATGGGGAGGACCATGGAATGAGGGGAGAGACCTGTTTTTGGGAATCGGGACCTTGGGAGAATTAGGGGAGAGACCTGTTTTGGGATTCGGGACGGCGTTGGGGAGATTAGGGGGGAGACCTGTTTTGGGCCGGAATCGGGACCTTGGGGAATTAGGGGAGAGACCTGTTTTTTGGGAATCGGGGACTGGGAATTAGGGGGAGACCTGTTTTGGGATCGGGACCTGGGGAATTAGGGGGGAGACCTGTTTTGGGAATCGGGACCTTGGGGAATTAGGGAGAGACCTGTTTTTGGGAATCGGGACCTTGGGAATTCGGGGAGACCTGTTTTGGGAATCGGACCTTGGGGAAATTAGGGGCGAGACCTGTTGGGAATCGGGACCTGGGGAATGAGGGAGAGACCTGTTTTGGGAATCGGGACCTTGGGGAATTAGGGGAGAGACCTGTTTTGGGAATCGGGACCTTGGGGGAATTAG